TAGTGGCTTAAACAAAAAAAATTTCTTCTCTCCCAGTTCAAGAGCCCAGATTGGGGGTGGGGGGTGCTGGGGCGGGGCATGGCCTGGAAGTGCTCACCTCTTCCAGCTTCCAGTAGGTGCCAGCACTCCTATCTCTGCCTCTGTGATGGCCTTTTCCTCTCCTCTTCTGTCTGTGTCAGAGCTCCCTCTGCCTCCCTCTTATAAGGATAGCTGTGATTGCATTTAGGGCCCATTGGGTTAATCCAGGATCATCTCATCTCAAAACCTTTAACTGAATTACATCTGCAAAGACTTCTTTCCTAAGTAAAGTAAGGTGGATAGGTTCCGGAGATTTGGACCTGATATCTTTGAGAGCAACTCTTCAGCCTACTGTATTACATTTTATTTTATCAAGTAAAAAGTTCATTTTAGGAAAAATTCAGTTTTGGTCCTATTGATTGATTCAGTTGGAATCATTACACCCAAGAGGAAAATTAGGATTCTGGATTTTTAGAGAAGGCAATTTAGAGAGGTGTTTAATTTTAGAGTGAGTTCATATTGAAATAACTTCTTTGTGGATCAGTCTTCCTCATTTAACTGTAAGCTTCCTGAGCACAGAAACAGTGTTCATTTTGTTCCTTGTTGTGTTTCCTTTCCCTGCTCTCCAGATGCTGGAAGATGTTTACCTAGTGAGCCTTTGCTGACAGGTTTGTGGACCCACACACAGAATTTGAAATGTCCCTTGGGGTAGGGTGGGCTACTAGTGTGTGGCACAAGGTAAAAGCAGGTTGGCTGGGAGCTCAAGAGAGCTGCAGGGGTGGGCAGCAGCCAGCTGCTCTTTGTTTGCCTTGGACTCCCCCAGCTTTAATGCTAAAAGTCCTGTGCCCCAGGAAACCCCTAATCTCTGGCAAACCAGGATGGTGGGAAATTGCAGATGGACCAGGTCCCGTAATTCAAGCAGGGGCGCAGGGCTACAAGAGCACCTGACTCCTGGGGTGCCACAGGGACCAGGTTCCATCACTCACCACTGACGAAAGCCAAAGGCAGAGATGTGAGTGGTGGTGAAACAAGACAGGAATGTATTTCAGTGAGGCCAACACTGGGGAGACAGAGGACTAGCGTCTCCAAGACCACCTCCAAAGCCCTGAAGATGCTTTCCAGGTTTATATAAGGAAAACTGGGGGCAAAGGTGGGTGGGTACATGCAGGTGGGCTGTGAAGGTCCAACAGATCTTTGTCTCAGGGTCAGTCACATGGGGTCTTGCTGGTTCAGAGCGGTCCTTATGGCTTGAGGGGTAAGTTCATTCCCCTCAGGGGATGCTTTGCCCACAGGGTCTTTTGCCCGAGTTAAGAGATAAGCCAGAAAGAACTTAATCAACTGAAAGTTTGAGACCAGATGGAAGTAGTTGAAGTTCTCTGTCACAGTCGGGCTTGTACCACGTGTGTGACAAAGTTGGAAAGGTCTAAGGACTATCTGGAAGGACACACACAGGTTGCCTCTGGAGACAACCCCTAAAGGTCTACAGTAGGCAGAAGACTGACTTTCTTCTGTGTATTCCTTTGAATGCTTTTGTTTTTTTAATAATGGGCATTAGACTTAAAATGCCCATTTTAAATAATGGGCATTAGACTTTTTAGTCTAATAGTTTAAAATAATTGGCTAAGTTGTAGCTGGGGCGCAACTGAAAAGGAGAGGTGTGGGTTGTTTTTCTCCCTTGGTGACAGGGCTGCCGAGGCAGCAGGACTTGAGCTCTGAAGGTGACAGCAGCATTCAGGTGAACAGATAAAACAAGAGGAAGGGGCCACCAGAAGGAACAAGAGTCCAGTCTTGGACCAAGTCCTCAAAGGGCAGGAAGCCGGTCTTATTGATACTGATTGTAAGAGAATGAATAGTCACAGATTTGTCCTAGGTCTTTTAAGATTTAACTCATAGCCAGATTAGCTTGGCAAAAGTTGAGTGAAATTCTCTTCAAGGCAAAAAATTGGGGTAGGCAAAGCTTCAACTCCCCTCCCCCAATTCCCTGATGATAGGTTCAGCCAACCTAATGGGGGAACAGAGAGGGAAAAATGAGTTTGTAGGACTGGACGCCTCCAGGAGAAATTACGGGGATCCAGAGGGCTTCTGAATAGGAAGGGGAGAGGCTGTGAACAATGAAATAAACAAGAATCCCAAATGGGACCTGCAGGCATCAGGGGGAGGACCCGCCCAGCCTCTCAGAACAAAGATGACTAACAGCTTCCTAAAATATCAAAGAAACTTTCCATGAGGGCTCTTAAATTGACCTGCACCTTTATTCCCCAGACACATTTTTTGAAAATGGGGGGCACTGTACAAAGTTTGCTGAGAGGAAGAGAGGCTTCCCACCCTTCCCCCTTTGCAGAATAGAATGCAGGAGGGTCCACATATTCCATAGCCCCTCCTTCCTTGGGAGCTTCTCTCTGCTGGCTCCCCTTATGAGTTCCTCAGAAAGGAAGCAGGGGTGTCCGGGTTCCTACTCCAGGCCCCATTCTTGTTCATACCCTCTATCTCCTCCATAGCTCCAAAATGGAGGGTTGCAACAGAGATCACGCTTATGCTGGTTCTAGTCTCAGGCTTGCACCCCGACCTGAAGACTGGGACACTGTGACCCTCCCAGTGCCTCATTTCTCCCACCAATGCTTAGGAAACAAAAACTCAAATTTTTCCATGTGGAGAATTTTGATAGCATTTTAAAAAAATCAGTTGGTGCCTGTGTATGTTTTATTTCAATTAAATTAAAAGGGGAGGAGAGAGAAGAAAGGTTTAAAAAAAGGGGGGGTGGACAGAGCCCTGGCACGATGTCCCACTTAGATGGAGTATAACAAAGCTGACAAATATGAAGGGAGTGCTCTGTGGGTGCCAGGCACTCAGAGTGCTAGGACTCATCACACCCCTGCACCTGCAGAGCTTACGTCTAGTGTAGGAGACTGACAATAAGCAATAGACCTAATCACTAAGTACGGGCTATAGTCTCTCGGTAATGGTGGCGTGCGCTGTGGGAAACAATGGAGACAAGTCAGGGAATTGGGAAGTCTAGGCTTGGGTGACACTCAGGACGTCTTCTCTAAGCTAGAGCAGAATAGACACTGCACGTGTGGCCTAGAATAGGGCCGGGCATAACAGAGTGCCCAAGTCAAGTTCCTTCTTTTCTGTGCCTAAGAATTCTCACTACCGAGAGTATGAGCTTCAGCCTTTGCACATAAGCCAAAGATGACAGCTGAAGTCTGAGCAGAGGTAAACTATATGAGAAAACCATACCACACTTAGGATTTTCTTTCTGGTTGAAATGGAGAGGGCAGTATTTCTCAAAGTACAGAATGTATTTCCCAATTTGACTTTGCCTTATGTACAAAATGTAAAGCAAGTTTCTGGCACTGGGAGGAAATTCAAGACTGTGTAAGTCACATCTGCTTGTGAATTCAGGGCCATTAAGGATTGACATGAGCTCAGGAGCTCTCTTTAAAATGTGTCTTGATCTAGGTGGGGTTACAACAGTATGTGCTTATGAAAGAATTCATGGGGCTACGGCTTAAGATTGGTATATTTTTACTGTCTGTAAAGTATACCTCAATAAACAAAGAAAGATGTGATTACCATTTTCCTTGGACCTAGGTACTGCTCCCACACTGGCAGTTTGTGAGCCCTCGGCCACTGCACTGGAAGGGGCCCCCTTGAGCCTGGGCACAGGCAGGACAATTTCTCAGGACAGGACTCCAGACATCTGCCCAGGAACATCTACACTGTGCGGACGTTCTGGGCAAGTCTGTGCTCACACTGCCTTTGCGAATGCCCTTGGCTCTCCCTGAAGACCCTGGGCAGGCGGGAGTGATGCAGGCTGGCTGGGTCCTCGGGCCCAGAGTGGGGGAGTCCCACAGGACCAGTCAAGAAGGTCCTTGGCTTGTCACAGGATGGAAATCAAATGCAAGCCAAGAAGAAGTGAGAGTAGAGTTTGTTGAAGACAGGGAGAGAGTAGATATGGACAGAGAATTTTCTGGAAGACTCAGAAAGGAGAGAAGACTGACTCTCATTTTTGCTTGGGGCCTGAGGTTTTTGTTGAGGTGTGGTGCACGTGTTCTCTCAGTAATCCGGGAATTAAAGACTCTGTAAGTCACTTATGCCCTGGTGCTGGGGGTCTTAATGAGTCAGTGGTCATGGCAACTGGTCATGACAACCCCCCCCATCATTCCTTAGATTCATCCATTGTGCTGGAGATCATTAACTTCTCTTGCTTTGCAAGGCGGACATAATGTTTTCTGTTCTATAACGTCTGTGTAAGGTGAGGGGTGTCGGTCCTAGCAAGAACAGAAGCAGGAAAAGGAGCAAAGAGTTAAAACAAACAAACAAACAAAAAACAACAGCTTTTTTTCGTGGGATCCCTTTGGTTTCTCTGTCTCAGGAGAACAAATACCCACACAGGAAACAACCAGAGAGCATGTCCAGGTGAGACCATCAGGTCTAGGGCACAAAGTTCTTACCCTGCTGAGAAGGCTCGTCTTCCCTCCTTCCTCACATCAGCATCTATGACAGTGGATGAGGCACTGAGTAGTGAGGTCACAGAATTGTGTCAGGCCAGACAGGAAGTGGCTGTTTGCACCCAATAAGACAGCTGGCTGAGTCAACATAGAGACACCCTGTTATCCCCGTCCGTCTCTCCCTGTCTCTGTCTCTTCCTCTCTCCCAGTGTGAACCTCTGTCACTCTCTCTACCACACCACACACCCAAGATTCTACACCTTTATCAGATACCTAACAACCTTCTGAGGCTACACAGAGACCCAAGCAATCCACACGCCCCCGTGTGCACTCACTGTTAGACACTTCGTATCACGAACCCTTGGATTTTAGTCGTTGGTTTTTTAGTAGAAAAGCATGCCTCTTGGAAGGATGATCTCTAGGCTTGGTTGGGAGGCTGGAGTACCAGAAGCCTAAATAAAGCCAGGAGACCAAGTGGGCGTCCATCCTCTCTCAAGCACTCACTGGGCTGCTTCACGTTCTTCTCCACAGGAGGCCGTGTCGCATTGCCCGGAAGAAGGCCAACTGGCCCGAATCCAAAATGTTATCCAGGAGCTTCCCCCATCCCATTATAGGTAAGAATTTTTGGTAAAAGATGTCTGCAGCCTCTCAAGGTGGTATAATACCAGAGATGCGGGCTGGTGTCATAAGAGCGAGCAAGTTTAGTGGACAGTGACTTTCCTGTGGCATTTTGAGGTGGGTGAACAGGTCAACTTTTATCAGAGTGCATTGGTGCCTGCCCAGGGACATTGGCAGGAAGGGGCGGCCCATGTCCTTTTCACTTGTGGGGCCCCCCTTAGAGTCTCACAGGAAGTCATTATGATCACACGAGCCAGCCTCACTGGCTGTGATATTCTAGGTTCTTACCCAGATTCAAAGCATAAACACATCTGTGGGATCCAGGAGGGTCTTTAAATAGGGTTTGGCTGTAGCTCTTGAGCTTCTGGCTGACAATCTGTTTGCTCCTCAGTACCATCCCCCACATCATCCCATCCTTCCATTTTGTTCTCCAGTTTAGCCCCTCATCTTACCACCTTTCCCAGGGTTCTCTAAGCATCTTTTATAAGGGGGTAGATTTTGATGTGGTATAAGGAAGAAATTCCTACTAACAGATGTCATTCGTCCATGAGATGAGCTCTCTAACTAACAAGAACCAAGTTACCTGTAGCTGGGAGAATTCCAGAAAGAGAAGAGTTAAGAGGCGGTTATAAGATAGTGCGGTGGCAATGGTGGCCTGGATAAAACGAGGCCCAGGGAGCTGTCTCTGGCTCTCCAGGGGCCTCGGCTGACTTCTGACAAAACCATTCCCCTTCTCCACCCTGAGCCAGCATGCCTAGGGCCAAGAAGATTATTTCCATCAATCTTGATACCTTCCTGATATTCCTCCAAAATTCACGAGATAGAAATATTTAGAATCTTTTAAATCCAAACTTAGAAATTATCTCCAGATGTTGGGCTTTACATAGGCACTAAAGTTTCTTACTTTGCTTTTAAAAAAAAAAAAATGAACTGTTACAGGACCTTGGAATACCTGATTCGACACCTGGCCCACATTGCCTCCTTCAGCAACAAGACCAACATGCATGCCAGGAACCTTGCCCTGGTGTGGGCACCAAACCTGCTCAGGTAACCCCTATACCCTCACCTTCTCACCACCCCTGTGAGCTCAAAGCAGCCACCGACTGAAATGAAGCCCCTTGAAGACAAAGCTGTAGCAAGTGGTCATTTGTAACACTTGTAAGTTAAGAAGATTGTAATAGCCTGAGCTCTTTGTCTGCCATCCTGGAAACTCTGGGTTCCAAAGGCATTTTCTGGCTACAACCAGCATGTGGCTAAAGTTACGGGTTTGTGTGTTATAATTTCTTGAAAAGGCCTTTCTTGTCTTGAGGGCTCATTGGCTTTTGTTGGTTTTGGCGGAGTCACCATGTCAGAGGACTTCATAAATGATGACCTGACCCACAGAACAATTGGGTGGTGGGGGGAGGGAATGGAAGGAGATCCCATGAAGAAAAAAAAAGCAATTCCTGTATATTCACAAATATAGTGTTTGTAATCTAGCAATGTATGGTCCCTGGTAACTGTTGTCAAATTTGTTCAGTGTGTTTGGCATCACAGCCTTTGGGGAGTCCTTTTCATAGGTCTTAAATAGTTAAAACATTCTAGAGATTAACAAACTGTATACATTTAGGAAATGAAGCTTGTACAAAAGGCCCACTGGCTCCCCCTGACTGCTTTCCATTGGGGGGCAGACTCACTCACTGAATGTGTTTCATCCACGATTTAGGTCAAAAGAAATCGAAGCCACTGGGTGCAATGGAGATGCGGCTTTCCTTGCAGTTCGGGTCCAGCAGGTGGTGATTGAGTTCATCCTGAATCACGTGGATCAAATCTTTAACAACGGCACACCTGCGTCTTTGGAGCACAACGGTAATGGCTTCTTCTGGCATACTCTGCACCAGGCCATCCTTCTTCCTTGCCTTAGTCATGGGGCCCAAGAAGAAGTTAGGGCGGCCTTGCTTCTAGTCCTGAACTTTGGCTGTGTGCGTGTGGGCTGACTACTCCATGTGTCAGCGTCTGGGGATCATGCACGTGTGTACATTGGTCTTAGTGCACCAAGATGTGTTCATGGGTGGCTGTGGTGTTTCTGAGCAGTTGCATGCATGACCTAGCCCTTGAACGGAGAGTTCTGTGCTGGAATAATCTATTGGTTTTAGTGAGTTATTAAACTCTCTGGGTTGTTATCAGCAGGTAACATTCTTCCCTCACCTTTACTTTCCTGATGGGATTTCAGAAGACCCTTATGTCTTCATCTTGGGTGTTATGAGTGGGTTAAGAGGCAATATGGCTGTATGCACATGTATATGCAGAATGGTTCTCTTCACAAGCATTTCTTGAGTGCTTACTTTGTTCTACCACGCACCAGGCACTAGGCATACAAAAATGAGTGTGTATCTGTAGGTGTGCATATGCAGAGACTGGTCAGCACTGAAACCGTCTGTGGCCATGTTGGTGAGAAAGATACAGCTAATGGAGGCTGGATGTGAGAAGATGCAAGACTGTGGTTCCCAGTAGCTCTCGTAATGATCTAATGAACATGCTAGGAGTGAACTGGTTTCTGTTGCTGGAACTCTTGTAAGCTTGATTTGTCTAAATCAACTATCCGGCTGGTCAGGAAGCCTCGTAACTACAACTTGTGTGAGTTTTCCAGCATTAGCATATGTCACAATCCCCTGGGGGGCTGTTCAAACACAGATTACCGGACCTTATCCCCAGAACTTGTGATTCGGTGTGTCTGGGATGCTTCTGAGAATTTGTATTTCTGATGTGTTTTCAGGTGGTGTTGCTGCTGCTGGCCAGGGCCCACACTTGGGGAACCAGTGGTCTATGAGAACCCTATCTGCCAAATATTTGGGTTAGCTGATTAAAGCATTCTTTTCTCGTTTAGCTAATGTAGTGGGGAAAAATGAACATAACCATCAGAATAATCAATTGCAGCTAACATCCAATTTTGATTCCTGGTATATGTGCTCCCACCCCGACCCTGTCCTCTATGTGGTTTATAACCTTACTTTGAGAACATTTTTTATTGAAATAAAATTCACATAGCATAAAATTCACCATTTTAATCATTTTAAAATATACAGTTCGGTGGCTTTTAGTATTCACGGAATTGTGCAACCATCACCACCAATCTAATTTCAGAACATTGCATCACTCCAGAAAGAAACCCCATACACACGAAGCAGTCTCTGCACATTTCACCCTTCCCCCGAGACCCTGGCAACCACAAAGCTACTTTCTATTTCTAGGGATTTGCCTCCTCTGGACATTTTATGTAAATGGAATCATACAACATGTGGTCTTTTGTGACTGACTTCTTTCACTTAGCACATGTTCTCTGAGGTTGACCCACATTGTTACATATGTCAGTGTTTCCTCCCTTTTTACAGATGAATAATATATCTTCTGTTGTATGCCTGTACTACATTTTGTTTACCCATTTGTCAGTTGATGGCCATTTGGGTTGTTTCTACTTTTTGGTTATTATGAATAATGCTGCTGTGAATACAAGTTTTTGTGTGAACACATGTTTTCGATTCTCTTGGTTATATACTGAGGAGTGGCTAACGTTTCGTTTATCTTTATTTTAACTCTCCCACTAGAGAGAGAGTTTTTATCGTAAGCTATAGAAATCCTTTTTGAAGGTAGGTGAGAGGGTGCGTTCATTCATTCATCCTTTTGAATCAACCAGTAAGTTACTGGGGACTTATTCCATGCCAGGAACGATGGCAGGCGCTCCCCATACATCATCTCATTGGCTTATCACAAGAAGTTGTCACGGACCTTATTTTATATGGGAAGAACCAGAGGACCAGAAAAGCTTAGTAACTGCCCCAAGTCGTACAACTAGTAATTTTGAGACTGACAATGGAACCTAATTTTTCAGCCCATGGCTCTTTCCTCAGCTCTATGCTGCCTTTATGAAGAGGAAAAAAAAAAAAAGAAAAAAAGAAAAATAGACCAGTAAACCATTGTGAAGAACTAATGACTTTTGGGAACTGTTCTTCCCGAAAGCAAATCCTATTTGTGACAGTTAGTGTTAAAGCCGTTCCTGATTCTAACCTGAAAATGCCTGCTCTCTTTGTGACCATTGCCTTGATCATCTCTTATACTGTATACGGAAATCTAGTTGCCTCGTAAGCCTTTAACTCTTGATGGCCTCTAATGCTTATTATTCAATGCATTTCATTTAAATGTTGTCATGAACTCGAATTAACTTTGGTAAGATAGCACAGTTAATGTTTACACAAAATGGAAGAAGCCATACCCTCTGGAATTTTAAATTTGGGATTAGGGTTCTGTTTCAAATTGGAAAGATTTTAGTAGTCACAGAATCCAATACTTTTGTTTAATGAATAAGAGCAAGGAGGCAAGAGAGATTGTGATGTACCCAAGATTTATTAAGACATAAATATGCATCGAGCAACTTCTAAGTGCCAGGCACTAGTCCACACACTGGGGACCATCAGTGTACAAAATGGCAATGATCCTGCCCTGCAGAAAGCTATGGTCTAGTTGGGAAGGAAGGCAAATAAATACATTATCACTTTGAAGACAAGAAATAGCATGCAGAAAATACAGCAGGTTAGTGCAATGGTCAATGATTTGGTGGTGTTACTTTGGTACAGAGTGGCCATGATCTCTGAAGAAGTGATCTTTGATCTGAGACCTTATGATAAGAGGGTCTGAGGGATGAATGTTCCAAACACAGAGAACAGAGATTTAAAAATCTCTGAAGTGGACAGGGGATCCATACAGAAAGTAGGCCAGTGTGGCTAGAGACAGTGGGGTCTCCAAAGTGGGGTGCCCCACCCTAGGGGGCACCAAAGACCAAGGTACCAAGCCATAGATGTTGGAAGAAACTATTAGCATTTCTTTCTCATTTCTTTCTATTGTATATTTTGTAATTTCTATGATTTTTTATGTTTTCTGTTATAAATAACACTAATATGGTGACATATATATAGAATTTATAATGAGAGTATACAATCAAAAATTTTTACTGTATATTTTTGTAGCCCACTGGATCAGTGGGCAAAGAGGAGAGGGAAACCTGATGGAAGGTCCTTGTAGGTCAAGCTAAGAGTTTGGTTTGTTCTCAGTGCCATGGGAGATTATCTGAGGATTTTGAGCAGGGAGTACAGGGTCTGAGCATTCTGACAATGGTATGAAGGAGAGATGGAAAGGCAGCAAGCCTGGAAGCAGGGAGACTAGTGAAGGAGCAATGGCCAAAATCAGGTGGGCAATCATGGTGGCCTGGGCTAGCATGTTAGCAGTAGACAGAAGGAAGGTAGCTGGATTTGGGATGCATTTTGGAGGTAAGAGTCGTAGGACTTGCTTATAGTCTGGATGTGGGAGGAGATTGTGCATCACAAAAAAAAAAAAAAAAAAAAGGAATGAATGAAAAGAACTCCTCCAGATTTTGGCTGGATGGTCCATGGTGCCATTGACTGACATGGCAAAGATGGGAGGGGGTAGCAGTTTAGCACAAGCTCTGTGATGAAATGATAAGTTAGAGATGCTTGTGAAACATCAGAGCAGAGACAGTGAGCAGGCCTTAGGACACTGCGGCCTGAAACTAGGGGTAGGTGCTAAACCAGCTGAGGTCTCCTGACCTGCAGTGTAGGTTCTTCCCATTAATCCGGTTGCTCCCAGAGTGACTGAATTTTTTAAGTAAATAAATAATTAACAAATCATAAATAATCTAGAATGCAAATATTAAGAGAATATAGAATTTAAATATTTTAACCTCCTTGGGGTTAAGTTGGAAAACTGTGCTAATGTTGGAAACTTTACTGAAAAGAAGTTTTTAGGATCACGGATTTACTTAATTGCAGTCCCATGGAATGACTGCCATGCTCTCCTGCCTGGAAGAACCCCAGTATTGCACACCGTCTCTGTTTCCACAAGGCCCTTGTTCAGTGGTTTTACTTCCCTCCTCCCAGAAAAGGTCATGCTCTGCAAAGAGGAATAGTCCTGCCAAGGTGCTTTCTGAAAATTAGGTGGGTCCTATACCGAAAAAGATTGATTCTCAGTTGGTCCAAGTTATCTTTGAGTCTCTTGACACCTTCTAAAGTTGCAGAAAACTGGCAAGGTTGCCAAAGACTACACAGAGGCCAACTTGGACCTCCCTTTCTTTTACTTAGATCAAGGTTTCTCAGTCTTGGCACTAATGATATTTTTGTGCTATGTAGTACTTTTTTGGTTTTTTGTTTGTTTGTGTTTGTGGTTGGGTTTTTTTTTTTCCTTTTTTATTTTTCCATACTGGACATCCCCGTTTTGTGCTCATAGCCCACCAGTGAGGAGGTTGGTTCAGGGCTGCCCGCTCCTCTGGCATGGGTCCACTATGAGAGGCCCACAGAGGAGGGCCTGCCATTAGTGCCTGCCCATGTGCTAGTACCTGGTAGTTCTTGCTGTGGGGCCGTGCTATGCATTGTAGGATGGTTAGCAGCGTCCTTGGCCTCTACCCGCTAGATGCCAGTAGTACTCCCACACATGCTTATGACAACCAAAAATGTCTCCAGACATTGCTAAATGTCCCTGGGAAAGAGGTGGGGGCTGCATAATTGCCCCAAGTTGAGAACAAATGACTTGGAGAAAAGAGATGACCCTGGACACCATTGATCTATCATCATCACTTCTATTTCTTTAAACAAAAAAATAAAAACAAAAACAAAAAATAAACAAACTCTACCCCCCACAAACCATGGATAGAAAAGATTAGTTTGCATACATTTAAAACCGCTGAGTAGTGAGTAAAAAGCAAGCTATCTTTTAGGGAATAGTAGGGGCTATAAAATGTCTTTTCACTGTAGGAATATAAACCTTCCTGATCTAGGGAAAGTATAGGCTCCCACATTAAATCACCTTGGAGTGTGGGTTCTGCAGCTACAGAGAGCAAGAAAGGTCCCCTGCCTTGTTTTAGGCTGGTGAGGTCATGTCTATGGCCCGACGTACATTCCCACCTGGCTAAAGTCCTAGGCAGCTGAGGGTTGTCAGGGGGAGGGAGGAATGGAGAGGGTGGTTGGGTTATGGGCATTGGGGAGGGTATGTGCTACGGTGAGTGCTGTGAAGTGTGTAAGCCTGGCAATTAACAGACCTGTACCCCTGGGGCAAATAATACATTATACGTCAATTAAAAAAAATTTTTTTTAATGTTTAAGTAAAAAACAAAACAAAACAAGAAAGTACTAGGCAATAAATGTTCAATAAATGTTTGTCCTATGAAGGAAGGAAGGGAGCAAGCAAGCAGGATCCCTCTCTGAAAGGTACAAGTGCAGGTTTCCTCCTGAAGCCCTACATGTCTGCTGGCTGGCTGGCCATGAGGTTGTCAGTTTCCTATGTGCAACCTCTGCCCCCAATCCCAAAGCCCCCAGAAGCCTCCTGTCAGGGGATCAGGAATGGAGGCACCGTGGGTGCGGAATCTGGCTACACCTGATGCACAGGCCTCCTTCCACGACTGAGCTCTTTTCTCTTTTGTACAGAAAACCCGCCCATCACAAAGAGCCTGACCTTGCCAGCCCTCTCCTTGCCCATGAAGCTGGTGAGCCTGGAGGAAGCTCAGGCCAGGAGCCTGGCTACTAACCATCCTGCTCGGAAGGAAAGGAGGGAGAATAGCTTGCCTGAAATTGTCCCTCCCATGGGCACCCTCTTCCACACTGTTCTTGAGTTACCAGACAACAAGTAAGCAGCGTTCTCGTAAATTCTGGGGAACATTTGGGTGGAGGGGGAAAGAGGAAGTAGTTATATAGTCTCAAGGTCACAATGGCAGCATGGGTTGGGGGTACGGGCTGGGTCGGGGTATGAGGGAACATCTCCGAAGAGAAGGGAGCTGCCTCCACAGCTCTCTCCCACTGGTGATTAATGTCTTCCCTCTCTGCCCCCAAGTTATCAAGACCAGCTCTCCCACCGGAGATCCCTAAGTACCATGATGGGGGTGGGGCCAGAGGGGTCAAGAGTTATGACTAAAATCCCTTACTCCTTCATTTACACAAAACAGTCTTGACATTTTTGGAAGGAAGTTTGCTATCAACAACTTGGTCCCCTCCCCCCATCCTCCACCTCCAGGTGACATTATAAAAGCCATAGAGATGAATGGAGCATAATCTGACAAGTAGTGCCACTCTAGACTGAGAGCTCTGGGCAGGTGGCGCTTGGGGACATATTTGTCTGGCTTCTGTTCCTCTGTCCATACCTGTCAGAGCCCTCCTGCCCCTCCAAAACCAAACCAAACATCAATTTTATTCATAGGATATTTTCTTTCTTCATTGCTTCCTCTGTTGGAACCCTGATCTCCACACTGCCCCTTTCCCTTCTCAGCTTCACACCGCGCTCTAAAAAGCTGGCAGTGATTGAAGCAGCAGTCCCAAACTCTAGGCAGACAGTAGGTAGAGGGGCTAAAAGGCAACCTTTTCATGGGAGACTGTCATCCTCAATGTTTAGTCATCAAGGTATGAAAAAAGGCACCTCAGTCTTCTTGTCAGCATGATCCCCAAGATGGTGGGGCTGTTTCCCTTTGGGGAGAGAGGAGTGATGCCACTTTACCCAGCAGGAGGGGTGTCTGTCACAGTGCATTATGGGAATGGCACACCTAGACCTCACCTGGCGAGAAACCCCTCCATTTCCTGAAGTACATGGATCATGTTCTCTCTAGACTGAGCCCCATTACTTCACTCCCTAAATCCCTAGAGAATAAGACTTATACCCAGGGATCAGGAAGAAGAGTACCCCAGGGAGACCATCAAGTGTGTTTTCTCTGTGCCTTCACCACACATGTGGTGCACCCCAACGTACGCAAGCCTATAAAATACATCCCAGGCCAAGTGCTTGGAAAAAAACTGGGCCAGATTCAAAAGAAACCACCAAGCATTGCAGGTCTATCTCTGATTGATTGTGAAAACATGCTGAGCTTGAGATCTGGATGTTCTATGAAAACCCTGTGGAGGAAAGGACCTTTATGGAACCCACAGACTGAGGGTTTCATTCTGGAACTTCATATGAAGTCTGATAGCTGGGCGAGCCAGAGCAGGGCAGGGCCTCTAGGGTGACCTCTGGTAGCTCCAGGCTCCCCTGACCCAGTCTAGCACTCTCCTTTTCTTGCCTCCTGCTGAGGCAGCCTGGCAAGAGGCATCAGGGAAACAAGAGTGAAGCCCTAATTATCCCCTGCTTTTCTCTGCAGTGATGTCCCACCACACCCAGCAGCCTGACTCTCCCAGGCCAGACTCTTTCCCACATCACTTTCTTATCCACCCCTTTTTCAGTCCATGGAAGTCTTCGCCAGCCCGTCCCTCCCTATGGATGACCAAGCAGGATGTCCAAAGTGCAGGGGGCATAACAGCACTGAGTTCTTTGGTCTTAAACTCCTGCAAAAAATAGGTGTCTTTCGAAGCCCAGGACTGTGGTGCTTACGAGAATTCCTACCAAAATTCCCAGAACCGTGTGCTTGCTTGTGACCTCCGAATCTCCTGCCCATCCTGCCTCTGTCTGCCCTCATGCCTGCCTTTAAAAGCACAACTTTGCCCCTTCCCCTGAGGAATATGAAAGCCCAGCTTGGTCGTCCAAGGCAACCCCAAACAGGGTGAGACTCGGGCTCAGACTGAATTTTAGAGAGGAATTTCCTGAAATGCCAGAGCCATTCATAACCAAGAACATGACTGGGGTATTCCTTCTCAATTTAAAGGTCCCACTGAAATGACCAGTCACCGAACTAACCCTTTATTATGGCTTGGCTCTTTTAGAAGAAAGCTCTCCAGTAAATCAAAGAAGTGGAAATCGATATTTAACCTGGGACGTTCTGGATCAGACTCCAAATCAAAGCTGAGTAGAAATGGGAGTGTATTTGTGAGAGGACAGAGGCTCTCAGGTAAGAATCACTAGCAGTTTTATGAGATATATGTTTTATTTGAAAAACTGTTCAATCGACCTCCCGCATAGGGAAAAACCCAGTTCTTCCCTACTGTTTCTTTCCCATGTGTCTCCTTACTACCTACACAGACTACCTCACTTCTGACACTCCTGGTCACCAAATGTATGGAGGTTTTTCCTCACAGCAAGCAATTCTTTGCTACACCACTGGGTGGTCTACAACTTAGCTCAATTCTGACACTGTCGATCCAGAGACCGCACCAGGTCCCACGGGTTAAGGGCTCCTTCCCACAAGACTGCCCCCACCTACACATTCACACACTTCAGGGGCCAGTCACAAGCCTAGTTGTTACCTGTGCTCCTGACCAACCAGCTGTAGATGGGAAGTTCTAAAGACCCCCTCATTGGGTTCTTTGCTAGAACAGCTCACAGAACCTAGGGAAACCCTTCATTATGTTGACCAGTTTATTGAAGGATATGCTGAAGGACACAGATGTACAGCCAGTGGAAGAGATATATGAGGTGAGGTCTGCAAGAGGCCTGAGCCCAGGAACTTCTGTCTCCTCCACAGAGTTGGGGTGCATCACCCTCCTGGTGAGGATATATACTTATCTGGAGACTCTCTGAACCCCATACCATTGGGATTTTATGGAAGCTTGTCACATAGGCATAATCAATCATAAACTCCATTTTCAGCCCTTCTCCCTTCTCAAGAGAATAGGGGGTAAGGCTGAAAATTCCAAGTTTGCAATCATGGCTTGGTCTTTCTGGTGACCAGCCTCCATCCAGGAGCCCACCCACTAATGGACTCATTAGAACAAAGGACACTCCAATTACCCAGGAGGTTACAAGGGTTTTAGCAGCCCTGTCTCTTTAAACGGGGACAGAGACCAATAGATTTTCTCTTTTACAAGTATTTATTTATCATATACATATGTATATCGTAAATATATATGATATATATCATATGTATATATGTGATAAATAAATTTTTATAAAATGGAAAATACATTTAATACTCTTTTAATATATATATAAGTATATATATATTTATTTTCCCCCCCTAATTCTGCTTCTTGGGTGGGCTTTGGTTTGATCATGTGAAACTCACTAGACCTGAAACATAAACTGAAAGATTAACTTAGGGAGTCTTTTTTTTAAAAAAAAAAATTTAGATTTACAAAAAAAAAGTTGCAGAAATAGTACACAGAGAACCCTTGTAGCCTTCACACAGCTGCTTTTGATGTTCACCATAATACAACGATCCAAGCAAAAAAATTAACATCAATATACTATTAAATAATTTACAGACCTTATTCATAATTGACCAATTGTCCAACTATTATCCTTTTTCAGGTACAGGAATGCACACTGCATTCAATTGTCATGCCTCCTTCATCTCCTCTAGTCTAGGACATTTCCTCAGTGTTACTGACCATGACACTTGGGAAGAGTGTGGCCATTTATTTTGTAGATAGTATTTCAGCTTCGGTTTGTCTGCCTTTTTTTCATGATTCAGTTGTGGTGATGAATGTGCCTGTCTCAGCATGTCGTATCAGGAGGCACACGATGGCAATATCTTATTGCTTGTGATGTTAACTTTGATTACTTGCTTAAAGTGCTTGTCCATGTAAAGTTACTATTTTTTCCTTTCTAATTAACAAGTATATTGTGGGAGATATTTTGAGACTATGAAAATATCCTGTTTCTCATCCCTGAATTTGAGCATCCATCATTGGTTCTTGTCTGCAAAAGTTATTGCTGTTATTTTTTTTAAGATTTTATTTATTTATTTGACACAGAGAGAGAGAGAATACAAGCAATGGGAGCAGCAGAGGGAGAGGGAGAAGCAGGCTCTCTGCTGAGCAGGGAGCCTGACTCAGGGCTCAATCCCAGGACCCTGGGATCCTGACCTGAGCCAAAGGCAGACACTTAACTGACTGAGCCACCCAAGCACCCCAAAAGTTATTACTGTTATTGTAACAGTTAGTACTATGGTGTTTGCCAAATGGCCATTTTCTGTTTCCATCATGCCTTCTACATTGATTAATTAAACTCTGCTATAAGGAAGATCTGTCTCTTCTCCCCCATGACTCATGCTGGGGTTATAATTTTTAAATACAACTGTTGCCTTGTGGGAATGATATCTAAGTAATGAATGGGAATGAGTGCAGCAAGGAACTGAAGGAATCACAGTACAATAAGGAATATAACCAATCCAGCTGAATACTGTCATAAAGGGAAGTCCAAAGAAATCTGTCACAATGACCTTTAGTGTGATAGACTGAAAGTCTGATTTTTTTTAAATGGGGGCCAATAGTTATGAAAACAAGTTGTAAAAGTTAAATGTACAAATGCAATGAGCAAACCTTGATTTGAGTCCTTTGAGAAAGGGCTACAAATGATAATTTGGGGGACAGATAAGTTATTAGATGTTGTTACAGAATTATAAATTTTCATAGGGTTCTAATGGTTCTTAGGAGGCATATGACAAGTTTGAATTATTTAAGTATTTGTTATTATTTTTTAATATTTTGTTTATTTATTTGAGAGAGAGAGAGAGCACAAGCAGGGTGAGGGGCAGAGGAAGAAGCAGGCTTCCTGACGAGCGAGGAGCCCGATGTAGGGTTTGAACCCAGAACCCTGGGATCATGACCCAGGCCAAAGTCAGAGCCACCAGGTGCCAACTGAGCCACCCAGGTGCCCCCAAGGTTGAAGTATTGTAAAGAGGAGTGTCAAAATATTGAAACTCACTTTCATATGATTCAGCAAAATTTAAGCGAGTAAGTAGAGAAACAGAGAAAGCAAGTATATGGCAAATGTCAACTTGAGTAGTAAGTTTAGAGATCTTCAGACTTTCTGAATGTTTGAAGTTTTTTTGTTTTTTGAAGATTTTATTTTGAGAGAGAGGGAGGGAGTGAACACATGAGTGGGGGAGAGGGAGAGGGAGAGGATCTCAAGCAAACACAGGGTACCATCCCATGATCATGACCTGAGTGGAAACCAAAAGTTCAACTCTTTTTTTTTTTTTTTTTCCTGACAGACAGAGATCACAAGTAGGCAGAGATAGAGAGCGGGGAAGCAGGCTCCCTGCTAAGCGGAGAGCCCGGTGGGGCTCGATCCTAGGACCCTGAGATCATATCCTGAGCTGAAGGCAGAGGCTTTAACCACTGAGCCACCCAGGCACCCCACAAGAGTCCAACTCTTAACCGACTGTACCACCCAGGTGGCCCTGAAGTTTTTAGTAATAAAGATTTTGGGGGGAAATGAATGCTTATAGGAAAAATGATTGAAAATATTTTGAAGGACTTTCCATGAAGCCAGTGGTAACTGTATGCCAAAGACAGATGTTCGAAATCTTCACATTTGGGGTGCCTGGGTGGCTTAGTCGGTTAAGCATCTGCCTTCAGCTCGGGTCATGATCTCAGGGTCCTGGGATCGAGCCCCGAATCAGGCTCTCTGCTCAGCAGGGAGATACAGGGAGGGCTTCAGGGTTTAACACAGTGGCTCTGTCTCCATTTCCCTGTTTTTCTCAGCTCCTGGGTCAGCTTCATCCCCAGTCTGGCTTCTTTTTTTTTTTTTTTTAAGATTTTATTTATTTATTTATTTATTAGAGAGAGAGAGAGAACACAAGCAGGCAGAGCGGCAGGCAGAGGCAGAGAGAGAAGCAGGCTCCCCACCGATCAAGGAGCCCGATGCAGGACTTGATCCCAGGACTCTGGGATCACGACCCAAGCCGAAGTCAGTGGCCTAACCAACTGAGCCACCCAGGCGTCCCCCAAGTCTGGCTTCTTGGCTGCAACGAAGTGGCTATAGTACTTCTAGGCTTTCCCTTTGACTATCACTACATCCAGAAGGAGAAAAAACATTATTTCTGGTAGCTTGCTCCTCAGAGCAGGGACCCTTCTTTCCCAGCAGCCCCCATCAGAAACAGCCCCAATGCTACCCCATCTCGTTGCCTTCACTGGGTCATATGGATCAATCCCTACGGCCAAGGGGGCTTAGGCCTGGCTTCCTAAACCAATCCCCAGCATGAGGAATGGGGAGCCAAGAAGTACAAGGGCTCTGTGAGAAGGGGGAAGGGCACAGGATTCTGGGTAGGCATCTACAACATTCACTATATGAGGAAACAAGGCTTTTACCAACCGGAAAGCCATCTCAGGTGAAGAGGGCGGGTTGCCACAGGTATGGTAGATCAGATACAAATCAGAAATTAGGCTTCTCAAAGGAGAATCTGAAGGAAGGAGTACCTGGCAAGAAACTCCTGACTTAATAATAAAGAGATCTGCTTGAGCACATCAAAGACAATTTCAGTCACAGAATTGGTGATACCATGAAAGAAGTTTACCACATAACAAAAAGTCAAAAACAATAGAGCAAAACAAACAGCAAAAAATGAAATAAATGGTCTGCTTTGATCTGGGCCTTAGGAAGATTTCCAACACCCACCCACCCCCACCCCCTGAGTGGCTTTCAGAAGGAAGAAGTCCAAGGTGCCGGATCAAATGGTCGTCTGCTCACAGAACGCACAGGATGTCCCCGGCCTGGGGGTCTCAGCCTGGCTGCACCTCAAAGGCTCACACCCATAGTGGTTCTGCCTCAGGAGCTGTGGGAAAGCCAGAGTCTTGGTCATTTTTAGAAAGTTCCCCAGGCGATTCTGAAATGCAGCCAGGGTTGGAAGCTGCTGGTCTAAAGCCTCATGAACAAACTAATCAGACAGATTAAGGGAATGGCTGAATTTTAATGGGATGCAGGGGTGAAATGAAAGAACCATCAGGGCCATTACAAGTGACTCTCTGACCTTGACTGGGGGCCTAAGTGCCCACTTTCCACCAGAGGAGTGTTGCTGGGACCCTCACAGGGGTGGGGGCCGCTTGTGGTCATCCACCTGCATGGTGTCTGTAAGTGACATGACCCCACTGCTTGTTGAAATATGCATGTGAAAAAATGAGTCAGTGAATTGACATATTTAAATGATTTTTTAAAATATTTTCTAAACTCCATAACTAAGGGAATTTTAAAAATTGATTCACCATGAATAGCACTGGGGATTTTTTTTGGAGGGGACAGGTGAAGGGGATATACTGAAATTTATGCCTTATCCCACAGGGAGAGTCCAGGGTACTCTCTAAAGTAAATGCTTTTCAGCAGGGAAGTCCCAAAGCTATAGGGATAATTGAAGAGAGGGGACTTGAGGACCCCAAAGCTGCCAGAAAACTGGTATCTCCACGAGTCCAGGACAAGGTCTCAGACAGAAGAAAACTGTGGGCTAAATAGTCATGGGCGAAGGAGCCCTGAGTGCTCACTTACTGAAATGGAAATGAAGCCAGGGAATCCTTGGGGACTGTTCCCAAAGGCAGCCTCTGTGGCCACCAAGGCCACAAGGCCACGTTATCAGAAAGAGGATCCAACATGAAAGGTGAACACGGGTGGCAGAGAGAATGTCACCTATCCTCCATGACACTTAGTGTCATCAGGTCACTGGCCCTCAAGTCTGACATATGAAACCCAGAGGAAGTCCAGAAACATAGCCTCTGGAAAACAAAGGCAAAAACTTGTCTCTGAATCAGGGGACACTGGTCAGGCAGTTGTAGGATAAGTCAGTTTGTAAACTTGTGGAAGTAGCAGATGGCGAAAGGACAAGGGTTCTAGTGCCTGAGTAGAAGCAAGGAGGTTGGAGGCAGTCTTGCTCTCTCCAAGGTTTTGAGTGAAGATGGATGGCCCTGTCCCCTCCTTACAGGGCCCAGACAGAGAGAAGCCCTGAGCCAGGGAGGCCAAGGGGCTAATTTAGAGCCTCTCAGAGGCAGCAGGGTTTGGGCAAGGAGAGAAATGGGGGATATTTAAGAGGGATAAAACAGCTCAGTTTGGGGTAGGGCCAACTCCCAGGGCTTCCTACAGACCAGCTGCGTGTCTGAGTTCACCACCTGAAGGGGCAGAGTTGGCACTGGAGGCCAGATCTGTCTGAATCCACAGTGACCTCACAGCCACGAGTCCTGGGGCCCCACTCAGCTCCCAGACTGCCCTCTTTCCCCTCCTGGCAAGCTTGTCAAGAGGAACTACCTTTCAACCACTTCAGCTCCCAGAGAAGAAACGAAATCTTGAAGTGCCTAATCCCGTGCCTTGAATAAGTGTTTACTTATTTAAGCCACACTCCTCCCCAGATCTGCCTAGGTGGCTTACCAAGGTGCACAGGGGACACCACGCATATATTAGATACTCAAAAAAGGTCTGTTTGGTTTGGATCTGCTCCAGGGTGAGATGATTTAGAGCAGCAACCAGCCTACAGACCTCAGGAGCAGAGCTGCACATGGGAGAAAGGGGACTTCTGTCCCCGGGGCCCCCTCCTTTGCTGTACCACATTTCTGGGTGCCGTCAGTTGTGGCTACAGCCAAGAATCCTGCTCTCCAGCCTGTAGAATGGCGGGGGGGCGGGGTGGCTTTGCCTTGAGCCTCATAGACTCTATCTACCCCCTGGATGAATCTTTGTATCATAAAATTTGGTTCAGGGCTCATTTGCTAAAAGCTATTTGACAAAATTGTAATTTACCTTTATCTGTAAAATATTCATGAGACTTTGATCTAGAAATGCCCTGTTTTTGTAAGCTCAGTCTCTTTATGAAAGTAGGAGCATCCAGGGTGGGATGGAGGAATGTTTACCAAAGGGGAAAACTATAAATACTTGAAAAACTTTAGCAAAGAAAGTTCTCTTGTGTACTTAGAGCCTGATTTTTGTTCTGAACGCTTCCTCTCAATATGCATTCATCAGGGATATTTTTTCTTTTGTCTTTAGTGGAAAAGGCTACTATCCGGCCAGCTAAAAGCATGGACTCGCTGTGCTCAGTGCCTGTGGAAGGTAAGCTCTCACAACTGCTCTCGGAGCTGGGGATCACCACTGGGAGACACGAGCTCCCCTACCAGACTTGCCTTCATGAGTTACCTGCCAGCCAGTCTCATCACAATCACGCACAGTCCCAAATCCCTCCTGACCCTTCCTGAACCCAATAGGTTCACACAGCCCTTGCCTTAACCACCTCCCTGGCCTCTCCCCACCCCACATTACACAAGTCTTGGTCTCAAGGGCCATCCTCCTCCCCCCGACCTTCCTCTCCCCACAGCTGGTGATGGCAGCCATTGTACACTCAAACCTGAACTAGGTAAAAGGGCAACACCTGCGAGCCAAGGCAGGTGAGGCTTTCACCTTAGGCGTAAGGAAGAGCCAAGCACTGGTTTTTACCTCATAGTTTGGTGCCTAGATACTTAGGTGTCTTGAATTTGCCCATTTCCTTCTGCAGGCAGTAGCTTCATCGTACTTGTCAGGTCATGATTTCGAGCCGGTAGATTGGATCATTCATTCACCAGTAAACAGTGATGGACACCAGCCTGGCATGTGGCCGGTCAGCCTGGGGTGGAGTAGATGTGTGTAGAGTTGTACGCAAGGTGACACATCCTCACAGTGACACCACGCTGGTCTTCAGGGCTGCTTTGCCTATCCTTCTGGCTTCTGTTCTTGTTAAGGAGCCAATAAGCACCTCTACGAGTTATAAGGCACAAGGTTTCCCCAGCAGCAGAAGGTTCATACCCCCACCTGTATCCTGTGACTTTTCCAGCTCCTTTAATGAAACCGTTTTGCTCTTTGATAAAGGAGGCAGCCTGAAACCGTGCAGAACGTGCACAGAACAACCTTTTAAAAAAAATAACTGTAAACTTGTAAAATCCTCCGTGAGCTCTTTTTCAAGCTGACTCGATACTTTTAGCATTTTCGTGCCTTTATATTTGGACATTTGCTTTGGTTTTGAAACCCCCTGAGGCGGTTCTACTGAATTTAGGTGAGGACCTAAAACTGAGGTCCTCACTTTGGTGGGCACTGGGCAGGTTCTCTGCCTCTCTGAGTCTCGGTTTCCTCATGTGTTAAAGGAGGTCATTACACTTCTCCTCCATGAGCAGCCAGGAGAATTGTAAACCTCGTATCATATAAGACATCCAGCAGAGCCCTTGGTACCTCGTGCAGAGTTTTTCTCCTGATCCCAGGCAACTCCCGTGTTATCTCACGCCTTGTTTATTTCCAATACAGATTTTTCTCCTCTTTGCTTTCACTTGTAAGTCAGTTGGGAAATTGCTGCTCACAACTGGGCTTTCTAACTTTTAGTTAATTTACATTTCTAGTTTCTCATCCCCTGAATCAGCAGGAGGAAGCCTGGGAAAAGGGAGAAAGGTCTAGCTGAGAACAGCATTTGTTTCCTTGCTGGGAAATCAAACCCCTTTTGGGTCCATCTGCCAGAGGAGACTTAAAACAATACATTCGAAAGTTTTAAAGTAAAACAGAATTCTGCTATTTTGCCCTATTTGTCTTCTCCTTCATTTTGAGAAAACTTCATTCCGTCTCCCATCTTTGTCTTTTTTCATGATCTACATTTACTGCTGGGTGGATGACCACTGTGTCTAGCAACATTAGCCATTTGGAAACTGCTCTCCCTGCAGAGTTTCAAACAGATGCGTACAGCACAACAGAAAATGGTCCTGTCAGGGCATCGTGCCAACATTGTGTGCACAGGAGAAGATGCTTACTCTCCCATCAACCAAACATTATCTGTCTCTCTTGGGAGGGCTACACCCTTTTTAGAAGGTTATGCCTTCCCAATGTTCAGGTGTTATGCACCTTCCCTTACTGGAAGGCTGTGTTGTGGTGTGTGTGTGTGCCAAGGCTTCTGACCATGTGTGTGTTTGCTTTTTCACTAGGGAAAGAAACCAAAGGAAATTTTAATCGAGCGGTCACCACTGGTGGATTTTTCATCCCAGCGGCAAAATTGCATTCAGCCAACACTGGTAGCTCATGTGACCTCAGCAAGCAGGAGGGCGAATGGGGCCAGGAGGGGATGCCAGCAGGGGCGGAGGGGGGCTTCAACATGAGCAGTGACCGAAGCCAACTTCAGGGCGCTCAGGCCCGGCCCCCACCTGAGCAGCTGAAGGTGTTCCGGCCTCTTGAGGATCCAGAGAGTGAGCAAACAGCCCCGAAGATGCTGGGTATGTTCTACACATCAAGCGACAGCCCCAGCAAATCTGTCTTTACCAGCAGTCTCTTCCAGATGGAGCCCTCTCCCCGTCACCAGCGCAAGGCCCTGAACATCTCCGAGCCCTTTGCGGTGTCCGTTCCGCTGCGCGTGTCGGCGGTCATCAGCACCAACAGCACCCCGTGCAGAACACCCCCGAAGGAGCTCCAGTCGCTTTCCAGCCTGGAAGAATTTTCTTTCCAGGGGTCAGAGAGTGGAGGTTGGCCTGAAGATGACAAGCCACTGGGAGCTGAGACGTCTACAGGTAAAGCAGGGAGGGAGGGTTTCTTTTCATCGAAAGGAATTAAAAAAAAAAAATAGACAAACTTGCCTAACCAGAGTTCGCAAGATAATGTAGTGAAGTGGTTAAGACTGTGGGCTCTGGGGATGCCTGGGTGGCTCAGTGGATTAAGCCCCTGCCTTCGGCTCAGGTCATGATCTCAGGGTCCTGGGATCGAGTCCCGCATCGGGCTTTCTGCACAGTAGGGAGCCTGCTTCCCCCTCTCCCTCTGCCTGCCTCTCTGCCTGTGATCTGTCTGCCAAATAAATAATTAAAATCTTAAAAAAAAAAAAAAAAAGACTGTGGGCTCTGGAGCCAGATTGCCTGAGTCCAGTGTCAGCCATTTCACTGGATGATCTTTAGCAGCTGGGTGCCTCAACTCCTTGAGCTGTAAAATGGGAATGAAGTTCCTAATCATATCCTCTTCGTAAGTTTGCTGGGAATATTAAATTAGTTAATACATGGGAAGCTCTCAGAACAGGTACATAGCAAGTACTCAGCAAATGTTGCCTATTATTTTATTCACCCATATAGTGAGCAGGCAGGAGTAAAAGCTCAAGGAATTCAATTCTTCTGGACTCAACCTCTCTCCATCCATCCATCCATCCCTCACTTCTACCTCGTATCTGAAGAGGAATAGGGCTAGCAACCCTAGCAATGAGAAAGGGTATCTTGCTCCCAATTTCCATATATCAAATGCAGGGAAGACTCTGTTGGGCCTGCTTGGGACACGTGCCCAGCCTTGGATGAATCATGGGTGCCAGGCATTTAGGGTTCTCGGATTGGCTGAGGCTGAGTGTCTGAACCATCTCTTGAGTTAGGAGGGGTTCTGTGGTCAACAGCCAGCTGTGAGCCACATAAAAGGGAAGTAGGGAGAACCACAAAGGAAAGGATGACTGATAGACAAACCAGCAAATGCCCACTTTGGTTTAAGCCTATTTTTGTTATTAATATTAGCTAACGTTTTTTGAACAACTGTTATGGTATCAGGCACTGTCCTAAGTGTTCTGCACAACAACCCTGTGAGGTACAGGTTGTTACTATCCTCCCCATTTGCTTAGAGAGGAAATCAGTTAACTTGCCAAATGATTCAGAGCAAGGAAGTAGAAGAACCAGGTTTTTAACCCAGATTTTAAAACCCGTGCTTTAAACACTCCCCCATGCACCTTCACATGTTTACAAGGGGCTGTGGAGGCTCAGAGATTGTTAGAACAGGATCCCTTTGCCCAGCAAGCTCATGAACTAGGAAGAGAAACTAAAACCATACCAAAGTGTGGCACAGGGTCAGCCTGTTGAAGTAGCACAAGACTCTCCTTGGGCTTTTTTTTTTTTTAAAGAGATTTATTTATTTATTTTTATAGAAAGCAAGAGAGCACAAGAGGGAGGGGCAGAGAGGGGAAAGAGAATCTCAAGCAGACTCTGAGCTCAGCATGGAGCCCGACATAGGGCCCAATCTCACGATTGAGATTATGACATGAGTTGGTCACTTAACTGACTGCACCACCCAAGAGCCTCCCTCCTTGGGCTCTTTGAATGAGGGAGGACTTCAGTCCCTGGAAGATAATGAGAGAGGTGTTCAGAAAGGATTTCAAGGGCGTCAAGAAGAGGCAGTCCTCTCGGGAGGATTCTAGGAAAGCTTCCCAGAAGAGGTGACATTTGGGAGGGCTTTCGTAAATGGGTGGGCTTTCTCCATACAGAAAAGATGGGGAAGGCATTCTGGGGTGAGAGGCAGCTGAATATTGTGGAAAGTCTGTAGGTTTTGGACTTCACCTGGGGTGATTTGAATCCTAGCTTCAGCGCTTTGGGGCTGTGTGACAGTGGATGGTGGTTGATATCGCTGAGCCAGGGGTGGTCGCTCTCACAAGGGCTGGGGTGAAGTCTGAATGGGGGAACGTCCATAAAATGCCTGTTCACGGTCTGGCTCACAGACGATGTTCAATAAGTATTTTGTCCTTTTCCCCTCCCTTTCCCTTTAGGACAGGGGGCAGAAGATGAGCAAAAACTCAGGGGCATCACGTGATGCCCTGTGTGGAGAATGTTCTGTGGGTGGCTGGTGGGATGGAGCGGGATGAGGGCTAGAAGAGGAAGGGAAGCACTTGAGGAAAAAGTGTTCCCAGAGGCTTTTGTGAGATATATCCCAACTGGTGTGGAGTTGCCCCCTGGGAAGAGTCACACAGGAAGCTGTCAGTCAAAATCACAGCCCATCTCTGTGGCTTGGTGTAAATAAGGGATTCCTGTGCCCTAGGCAACAGCTTGACTCCTCAGGATCTGAATTTACTTAGATGTGAAGTGAAAGATTAGATTAGAACAGGGTTTCTCAACTTGGTACTATTGACATTGTGGCCGAGCAACTCTTTGTTGGGGGCAGGGGCTGTTTTACGTTTCATAGGAAATTTGGCAACATTCCTGGCTTCTGCCCACTAAATGCCAATAGCCACCTCCTTCCCGCCCACATGTCTCCTGGGGAGGGAAAGAGCAGGGGGTCCCAGGTCACAAGCCCCTGGACTAGGGGATCTTCAAGAGCCGTCCCATCTCTTGACAGTCTGTGACTCTGGGAACTAAAGGCAGGACACGGCAAGGGGGAAAGGGTCAAAATGTGAAAAGCAGCAAGCTGAGAGAATTCCCTCCATCCTCATGAAGTGGAACTAGTCCAGGACGGTGACTGCACGGGTTAAGGCCTCTCTGCAAATGAATTCTTCAACGTAGCTCTCATCCTTCACAGCTTCCGTACCTAAGAAGGGGGTTCTCGAGGAGGCCAAGCCAGGCCCAGAAGCAGCGAGGATGGTGGAATGCAACAAAGGCCTCCCTCTGGAGCCAGGCCCCCAACAGGAGGAAAAGAAGGCCTTGGAAACATCCCTGGACTCTCAACATTCAAGTGACTTAGAGGAGAGGTTGGATCCAGAGAAGGCGGAGGAGGAGGGTAGAGAGGCTGGCCAGGTGGAGCCCAGCACTCTGCAGGAGAGCCCCGAGGCCAGAGCCAAAGCAGTGTTTCTCCAGGATGTGGTAAGATGCGCTCACCGCGGGGGCCAGCCAGTACAGTCCTCTTTGTCCCAGGGGCTCCTGGTAGAACTGAAAGCAGGGATTTGTGGGGTGAGGAGGGGGGATTGTTTAAGAACCAGTTTCTGCCAACGTGACTTGAGGAGACTGAAAGGGTCCGTAGACAAAAGGACGAGACTGATACAAGGCGAAGGTCAAGTAAAGCTTTATTTCGCGCCAAGCATCGAGAATCAAACTGACCAACCAGGGCCGTCTCTTGCAAAGAGGTGACCCCTCCCAGCCTCACAGACTAACTTTTATAGAGCAAAGGCCATGTGGTTGAGCCTGGCCACACACAGGTGGCCAGTTGAATTACAATTCACCCTATAGTAGTTATTGGAACTAGCCTATCACTCTGGTCAGAATTGGCGCCCAAAAGGCAGGGCCCACATTTTTGGGTGGTTAGGGAGGTGCTTTCCTGATTGGATGTCTCCACCTGGCTTGGCTCATCCTTGGCGGGTAGGGAGGTAATACGTGCGCTTTCACTGATTGGACATTTCCACCTGGCCGGACACGTCCGTGTATCTGGGCTCTGTTATTTTTGCCCAGCCTGACATGTCCTGGTATCTGTGCTCCGTTATTGGGGCTATTTGGCTGTACGTATTTCACCAGTTCTGTTTCTAAGCGCTTTCCTCTTGAGGGGAAGGGGCAGGTTCAATCTAAGTTTACTGCATAAACAACAAAATGGCTCGCTCTGGCTAAGTAGGCCCTTACAGAGACAACCTTCACAACCACGTGCTGGGAGTTAGGGCAGTGCTGGAGGGCTGTAGTGGCCTCAAGAGGGCCAAAATAAGGTTCCCAAAAGATGTGTTTGCAATCATAGAAAGAGAAAGATACAGAGATTCTTACAGGGATTGAATTTGGGGGGAGGGGCAAGTATAAATTAATGCCACCAGGCTACCCTGGAATTTTATGCTTTAAAGGTCACTCTTTTGTGAGGAGAATGGCTTGGAAAAGGCAGGAGAGGAGGCATGGGTGCCAGTTAGATGGCTAGTATGTGACAGGCCAGGGGAGAAAACATGGTGGCTTGGAGGAGGGCGGGGGTAACAAGGAAAGAAACGGAAGGCTTCGAAAGCTATTTAGAAACTAGAATGGTGCTCGCTTCGGCAGCACTTGTACTAAAATTGGAACGATACAGAGAAGATTTGCATAGCCCCTGTGCTAGGATGATATACAAATTCGTGAAGCATTCCATATTTTTGGGGTGAGTGCCTGGCTCTGTCACGCAATGGATAGCGCATTGGACTTCTTCCATATTTTTGGGGTGGGGGGTGTTCCTGCCTGGCTCAGTTGGTAGAGCATGTGACTCTCGATCTCAGCGTTATGAGTTCAAGCCCTATATTGGGCATGGAGCCTACTAAAATAAAATAAAATAAAATAAAATAAAAAGCAATGTCTGAAATAGAATTTATCACCCACACAGAGAAAGAAGGTAGAATGAACAGGACTTGGTAAAGGATTGGATAAGAGTGAGGAAGAAGGAAGAGTCAAAACACCTCATAGATTTCTGATGTAAGCAGAAAGACGCACTATGGTCCACTTACTGAGATGGTAGGGGAGGAGAGTTTACGTGCTCATTTACTTATCTAAATATTTATTTCTTATAAGACATCAATTCGTGTAGGTGCTGAGAAGAGTAAGCAGTTGAGTGAAAGTCTGCCTCTGCCTGAAGGTGAAATGGGAGTAGATACAAGTCAGTGTGATATGGTAGAATCAGATCTCAAAAACACCCCTGCCTTTTGACCACGGAATCCTACTGCTGGAGAGTTCTCTGAAGGAAACAATCAAATAGAAATACCACAAAAGAAAACCTCTTATTGAAGGAGGGGCAAGATGGTGGAGAAGTAGGAGACCCTATTTCAGCCTATCCCCTAAAGTGAGCTAATTATCTACCAGAACACTCTGAACACCCATGAAATCAGCCTGAGCTGTAGGATTATACAGTTCTGGATCTCTTCAGGGGCAGAAGACAATAGTGGAGTGGTAAAGCGGAGTAGGAACGATCAGACTGATATCAGAGGATAAACAGAAGGGGGAGGGAGCCACTAGAAGTGACTCATTGGAAAGTAATACACCAATACAAGAATACCCTCTGATTGGGGACCAGCATTAACTTGGAATCTGGTTAGAAGCATTCAAAAAGAGCAAAAGATCTTAAGGGGCAGCTGGTGGAATCAGGCAGTCACGGGCACGGGCCAAAGCCCACAGACCCAGGAGGGCCACAGCCGACAGACCCAGGAGGGCCACCACCAGCGACCATCTGTACCACAGAGAGTATGGTGGAGCTCCCGGGGTTGCACGGCTTGCACCACAGATCAGCTGGGCACACTCCTACCCCAACATGAGGGAGTCTGGTGACAGTACCAGCCTGCGCTCCCTAGAACTTTTGCTCAACGTGCGATCAGGGTCTGACCCACTCCCTGCCAATACCCGAGAAAGCTCCATCCTGACACTAGCTGGTGGTCTCTAGGAGCGACCGAGGGTCTGGACTCTCCCAGCTGGGGCCTGAAGGAATTCAGTGCGATCTTCTGTGGTGGCAACCTGAGGGCTGGACCCCAGACAGTAGTTCTGGCAAAGGCAGCCACCAGAAGCAGGCTCCCTGGACCAATATTGCTTGCAGTTTAAGTGGCACGAGGGTGCAGAGACAAGCGGGCACTTCAGGCGACCCCTGAGACAGTGGCTGGGGATGTGCTTTGCCTGTGGGAGGCTGCATGGCTCAGCAGAGTTTGCAGAGGGGGAGTCTGTGTGTTCTGGACCACCCAGAGGGGAGCAGAGGGAGGGTTCCCTCTGAGTCGGAGGTCTGGGTACAGTTTGCTTTCCACCAAACCTCTGAGAAGCCACAAAGAGCCTCAAAAGAAAAAACCTCCAGAGAACAAAAGCCTGAAAAACCAGTTTCCATAGAGCCCAGTCCCTTGATAGGGGGCAGGAGGACTCAACCCAGGCAAGACTGACTGAAAAACAATGCGGCAGGCCCCTTCCCCCAGAAAGCCAGTCAAAAGGACGAGAGGACAACCACCACAGGGTCCCCATAAAACTGTAAAACCCCAATATCAGGGGAAAAGAAGAAATTAAACTCCCGGTATTGCCTTAAAACCTGTATATTTCATAGATACAACTTTTACTTTTAAATTTGTTCTCACTATTTTTGTTCTCTTTAATTTTTTTAACCTACTTACCATTACAATTAGAGGCTTAATACAATATATTCCATAATAACCTTTTAACTTGAACTTTTTTCACACTTATACCTGTTTTTCGTTTTCTTTTCTATTTTTTTAAATAAATATACATATAGATATAAGCTTCAAGGTAAACCTCTTTCCCTAATCAATACTACCCCTGTATATAAACCAGTTTTAATTTCCCTTTATCCCTGGAAAGTTGAGTCCTTTAACAAAAATATCAAGATACTCCCAGAAAGAATAAAATGACCTTCCTCTCTCACATCGAGGATTTATAACCATTCTCCCATCTTCTTCTTCTGTCAGTGTTTCTGTGTATTTGTTTTTGTTCTGGTATTATATAAATCCTATCCTTGGGGTTCATTTTGGGTGGGTTCTTTATTTTTCTTGTCATTTACTTTTGTTGGTCTTTTTGTTTGTATGCCTTATAAATCTTACCTTTGGGGCCCATTCTGGCTGGGTCTTTTCTTTTCTTTTGTCTGCCTCTCTCTTTCTCTCTCTCTCTTTTTTCTTTCTTTTTGGTGGTGACTTCGATTGCTCAGAAGTGTTCCAGGGTGCACCTTGCCTGGATCACGGTTGATACATTCAGCTACATATCCCCTCAACTGCCTCTCACCAAAATTACTAGGCGGTACACCCAACAGAAGAAAAATTCAGAGACTGTGTCCTCTCCATCAGAACTATTGGATATGGACATAAATAGTATGTCAGAAAGGGAATTCAGAGTAACAATTATCCAAGCGAAGGCTAAGTTGGAGAAAACCATTAGGGACAACATGGAATCGCTAAGGACAGAAGTAAAAGACACCAGTGAGAAGTTAAAAATGCTATCAATGAGATCCAATCTAATCTAAATACTCTAACAGCTAGGGTAACTGAGGCAGAAGATAGAATTAGTGATCTAGAAGACAAACTGATAGAGAAAAAGGATCAGGAGGAAGGAAGTCTGGTACAAACAGCTTAGAAGCCATAAAAACAGAATTAGGGAAACAAATGATGCCATGAAATGTTCCAATGTCAGAATTATTGGGATCCCCGAGGGGTAGGAGAAATAAAGAAGACTAGAAGATATAGTTGAAAAAATTCTCCGTGAAAATTTTCCCAGTCTGAGGAATGGAACCAGCGTTGGTGCCCTAGAGGTAGAAAGAACACCCCCCAAGATCAACAAATCTAGAAAGACCTTGAGGCACTTGATTGTAAGACTGAGGATCATGATTTTAGACAAGAGCTTTTGAGAGCAGCTAGGGGGAAGAGATTCCTTATGTACAGAAGAAGGTCCATCAGAATAATGTCAGACCTGTCCACAGAAACCTGGCAAGCCAGAAGGGGCTGGCAGGACATATTCAGGGCCATAAATGAGAAGAACTGGCAGCCAAGAATACTTTATCCAGCAAGGATGACATTCAAAATGGATGGAGAAATAAAGAGCTTCCAGGACCGGCAAGGTTTAATAGAGTATGTGACCACCAAGCCGATACTACAAGAAATATTAAGGGGTGTTCTATAAAAGAAAAAAGAGCCCAAGAGTGTCATAGAACAGAAATTTACAGAGACAATCTATAGAAACAAGGACTTCACAGGCAACATGATGTCAATAAAAACGTATCTTTCAATAATCACTATCAACATGAATGGCCTAAACACTCCCATAAGACAGCACAGGGTTGCAGATTGGATAAAATGACAGGACCCATCCATATATTGTCTACAAGAGACCTATTTGGAACCTAAGGATACATCCAGACTGAAAGTGAAGGGATGGAGAAGCATCTTTCATGCCAATGG